TGATAAGAGAGAGATTGTGGCCGTCTGCCCAGCCTGCAATGTCATCTCCCCGGTTCCCGTTCCTCGTCCCGGGCTCCCAAGAGTAGTGATGCGCGTTGAAGTCACCCGCGATCAAAGCTCGCTCCGGGGGTTTGAGTTCTAGCAGTATCCCTGTTGTGCGGCTGTGGGGGTCGCGGGGTTGTCTGTACACGTTGACGATAGTCGTCGTTTTGTCGACCACCAGCCACAGTACGTCTCTCGTGTGGACAGGCCTCTGCTGCTCCACCGTCATCCCTATCCCTTTGCGTGTGTAGGTCAATACTCTTGGTCTGGTTCCTTCGCTGTCCCAGAAGTCGACCGGGACGAAAGAGTCGAAACCCGGGTGCGTGTTCAGTTGCACGTTTCCGTCCTTCCAGCCCGTCCAGGGTTCCTGGACGAGGACCACATCTATCTGAGCCTCCCAGCAGAGCTGCAGGAAAGCCGTGTGCGCCGGGGAGATCTTTCCGACGTTGCCCTGCGCAACGCGTAGCATCCGTGGGGTCGCCGCTCTCGGCTTACGTCTCCGAGTCGAGTTCGAGGTGGGTGTAGGCATTCGCGACGTTGTAGTTTGGCTTCTGTGCTGCCCGTTGGCTCCTGCTTGGCATGGGTAGCACGGGACGGTCGATGGAGGTGTTGTCGGGGGAGTCTTCGCCTTCGCCTTCGTCCGCCTCGTCTTCATCCATGCTGCTGCTGTCAGTGCTTCCGTCACCGAGGCAAACGATCGAGCTTGCGGAGGGCGTTCTCGTGCGCGCGCGCTTGGCGCCGGGTTGCTGGTTCTGGCTGGTGGAGGTAGGGACGCCTGCCGCCTCCTGGCTACTGTCGGATCGAGTAGCCTTGTACAGAGTGTCCGATGCTTTCTGGCCGGCCTTCCGGATCCGAGCCCGCTCCTTTCGACCGGGAAGGGAGACGACGCCGTTTACGACCGAGGGCCTCGCTGGGCAGTCTGTGTGGCCGGCTTGGAAGGGGCCGCAGCAGTTGGGACACTGGGGCCTGGCCATGCAAGGTCCCGTTTCGTGTGAGTCGGAAGGTCTTCCGCAGTTGCTGCAAGTCGGTCGTCGTCCGCAGAACCGGTTGGCGTGGTAGCCCTGGCAGCCGGGGTCATGTCGGATGAGCGTCCTTCGTTTTTTGATGGGCAGAGATCTGCCGCTTTGGTTGAAGAGCCTGAAGGGCGTGACCTCTGATGTGAATGATATGAGCCAAGATATTTCGTTCGTGACTGGGTTGGGCCCAAGGCGGGACGGTCGAGCAAGGACAGGCTTCTGTCCTGTCTGTGCGAAGACCTCATCTTCAACGAGTGTGGCTGGGTCCAGGACGTCCCCGCCAATGCTGTGTAGTTTTGTTGGGCATCGCGGCACAACGTATGTGTGCCACTTGATAGGCGTCTCGACTTGGTGGGCGCCGAGGCATTCCGCCAGCTTTGCCTTACTTGTAAGTAGTCTTTCCTGTATTTGCTTGTTTCGCGGCTTCAGAGAGTAACCTGTGCTGATATGGTAGACGTGGGGAAGGTCCGCTAGCCCCAGGCCAACGGCCTTACAGACGATCTGTCGTACGGCGAACGGTGCGATCTTCCGAGCGGCCGCTAAGCTTTCTTCCGGGACGCGGGCAAAGATGCGGAGGTCCTCCTTCGGCTGCGCCTGCGGCTGATCCTCGGCGGGGAGTGTGGCCTTCGGGCGGGCAGAGCTCTGGCAGCTCTGGCCGCTCCGGGTCGCCGCAGTGGTGTTGCCCGCCATCGGTGCGACGACAGCCGCCCAACTCCGGGCCGCTATTGGGCTTGTCTCGTGATTGATCAGTCTCTTGAGGGTTTGAATGACATAGGCAGTGGCTTCTTTCGCGATCTGCTTTCTAGAACCGTCAAAGCTGGCGACAACGCTGTCGACGGACCGTGCAATGGTCAGAAAGACGTCTTTCCGTGCCTCGTACTGTCTAGCTTCTTCTGCAAGGGCTGTCAAGACGGACCCTGTGGCAGATCCGCTCGGAGCAGATGCGGTAGAGGCTGCGGGCCCCTCGGCCGAGGTAGGGGCGTCGGTGGTGGCATCAAGCTGGCTTCCCGTTAGGCTGGGCCGGGTCGGCTGTGCCTCGGCGTCGCGGCGTCGCTTAGCTCTTGAGGTGGGGTTCGGCTCCGGAGGTGTCCCGGAGCCTGGTTCGGGGTCGGCTTGGTCGGCCGACATCAGTCCGGTGCCCGACGGCGGCTGTGAGGCCATCGCGGATGCGGGCTCCGGCAAGGGGAGGTGAAGAGTTTTCGGCTGTTAGTAATTTGGTGGTAGGCTCACTCATTCACTAACAGCAGATGCCAAGAAAAATTAGGCGAGAGGGAAGTTGACAGACTGTATGAATGAGGGCTTGGCATGATGAATTGTGCGGACCAAGCTGGGCCTCAGAGTGATTTGATCTCTTCAACTGTTCCGACTTCTTTTGGTCTGGTTTTTCTTGTTCTGGTTTGTTGTGTTCTGGTTTCTCCTTTCCTGGTTTCTTCTGTTCTGGTTTCTTCTGTTCCGGTTTCTTAGACTGTTTCGACTCCTCAATGTGCTTTGAAATTTTAGGCTGTTCTGGTATCTTAGGTTGCTCGAGGGTTTTAGATTGCCCCGGTTTCTTGGATGGTTGCAATTTCTTAGGTTGCCCAGGTGTTTTGGACTGCGCCTGTTCCATACGTTGTTTTGGTTTCTTGGGTTGTTCTACTTTCTTAGGCTGCTCCGATTCCTTGACCTGCGCCGGTTTGTTCGGCTGTTCCGATTTTTTCTTTGGAGCCATATTACTCAGCTATGAAAATGACTGACAAGATCTCAATGGTTCTAGAGGTGGATAGAGAGAATCTTAGCTTGTATCTCATTTTATACAAATTGATCGATCAGTGAACTACCTCGGAATCATGTGGACACGGACAAGAAAGTTACAACCAGATTGATGTCTCATATATGCAAAGTATCATGGCGGATCGTGGATTTGTTTGGCCATGAGAGCTCAACGTTCAGCTAATGTTTCTTCAAAGCTTAAATCGAAGTTACTACCCCGCGCCAACATGAACATGGTCGGTTAGTTCGCAGTTACGATGATCGAGTTGTACAAACCTGAGGGGTCGCTTTGGGGAGAAAAGTAATTCCTTGCAATTAGCCTTCAGATACCAAATGATTGAGAGCTCTTCGACCAGGAAAGTTGTTGCAACTTATCAAGAGACTTAATGCAGCGGGAGAAAGGCACTTAAAAGATTCCACATTACTTCAGGGCCGTCATTGATGGCATTGAGTATTTCAATGGGATAACATATCGGTTAAAACTCCAAACGGAAGCAAGAGAGAAATATAAGCTTGCGTTGGGCTAGTTAGAATACGACTACGTCTGGAATACTTCCATGTCAGCTAGAACACACACTCTACGCAGATAATTGATCACATCTCCACATTTTAGCCCAGTTGATTCTTGATTCATTGTTAGTTTTGGGTCTTAGTTGCCAGCTGCAGCTTACTCGAAGCAGAAGTATAGTCAGGAAGTCAAACAGGGCTTTATCTTAGTGGTCACTAGTTACAGCATGTTAAAATAGTTTCGCGCAAGGTGAAGTTTACCGAGACGGGTTAGTAATCTCCGCGAAGCCTGCGTGGTTTGATACGGTTCTCTCGACATGTGTCAACTTGAAAAACGTGAAGATACGTAGTTCGTTTGATATATGGAGCCGTGGCGTAATGATTAAGCATTTTCAATCCTCTTCGACTAGACATAACTACGATGGCTTGAATACCATACTATGACATTACTTACAACTGTTCAAGATCAATCGAAGGCCATTTGTGCTAAGATATCTTCGTATACCATGAGATGAATATGAGTCGCTTCATTGACCCCCAGGATGCCCGTCAATGGACAATGATTCCGGGAAAGTAGTGTCGTCTGTTTTTGCCAATATGCTATACGTGGAAAACCTAGATACTAAAGCCTTATTCTTGAGCTTTAAGGAAATTCGCAAGCACCACGTGCCAACATACCTATGTTGAGGAACTTGTGGTTCGAGGAGAAATCTTCGAGCCATCTACGTCCATCTTATACTGCGGAAGAGAAAAAATTACAGTGAAACCTGGCACCAACCACAATAAATGGCGTGCTTTCAGCGTAGGCTTCTAAGTTGGAACGTGCCTTCAATGATCGTTGAGTGTGGAGAACGTTCAACCAGTTTTCCCACTGCCAAGCATCGCAAACCTTGAAGATTGCGCGAGAATTACACAGCCAACAACGCCAGAAAGCCGCAAGGACTTCAATAACGATGTCTCTTGTGCCTGTTCGGGCGTTGTCGCCGCATCTCTCTCACTCATGAATGACTCGTCACGGCTTGGCCGCCGAGACATTTTAAACAAAAAAAAGGGGGGGCGAAGAACACAAATACTCACTCATGCCTCGGCAAGATGACAATGATGCCATTCTCATAGGCCATATCAGTCTATTTATTACGCAACCCGCGCTGGGATTGAAACTGAGTGGATTATGGCGACATTTCTAGTTTTTCACAACA